CATTTACGTGTTCACTGGAGTAGCATTTACTTCCTTCAAGAACTTTTCCTTTGCATTCACAACTTGGTTAACAGACACAAGAGGTCTGGCTTGTGGCCTAGCTCAGCTTTTGACGTGTCTTCCTCTCAAAGCTCAATCATTTCTAGCTTTTGATTTAAAGTGAGAGACGTACTACTCTTTCTTTCACTTGAACAGTTAGAGGCCAATGTAGGGTTATTAATTGTCCTAATTTCAATATTGCTGAGTCTCAGGGACTAGGGAGGCCCAAGGAGAGGGAGAGAGATGTGGGAACAGCCAGTTGGTAGAGCTATCAGAACACACAGAACATGTAGCGATTGAATTTGCTGCCTTCTGTGGGTGCACTTCTTGGTGCTCCAAAGCAATTATAATAGCAACATCGAAGATCCCTGAACACAGATCACCATAACTACATCATAATGTTGAAATTTTGAATTGTTGCCAGAATTACCAAAATGTGACACAGAAACAGGCAGTGAGAGCACATGTTCTCGCAGGGTTGCTACCAACTTTCAATTTGTAAAAACTGCAGTATCTGCGATGCACAGTGAAGTGAGATGCAGTAAAAGGAGGTATTTCTGTGCTATAATCAGTCATGAATTAGACGGGGTTCTCTGGATTCACTTGGGAATCTAGCGTTGGGTGATATGTGTATAAGGAAATATAGTCTCAGTTTTAAACAACCACTTTACAAATGCGTATGTGGAGCACAACCCGTTTATCATTTGAGGATTATGCAGGTGAGACCGTCCTTACCAAAGTCATCTTTTGACTCCTCTGGGAATGATTCTTTCAGGTACATGTCCTTCAGGACCCTAAGTCTACTTGCTGCTTGTCTATTGACCATGTTTTCTTATTGAATGCCTACAAAAGTTAAGTGATGAATAAAAAGAGAAGGATGCATTTAAACCAGTTCTGCTATTTGGAAATTCTGAGTAAATCCTTAGTTTGGTGAAGAGTGATATATCTCAAAAAGGCAGTTTTGGTTTAAACGGTGCATTTTCTTTCTCCATTTTTCCCTCTGATCCCCAATGCCATGACTAGTTAAGTTATGAAAAGCCCTTCAGTTGCTTGAAGAGAAGGGTGCTTATGGGATCTGCACAGATTTTTGAAATAAATGGCGAGGCAAATTGCATCAACTTTCCTTCTTTCCTTGGTTCATTTTTTGCAGGTTTCTGAGCTTCCTTTGGGGGCTTCATGAATGCTGCATGTCTAACGAATGTAGCACAAAATAGTAGGGTCTAATAAAGCCAATGTTGTAAAAGCCAGTGTGTGTGCTTATTTCTATTTTCTGGGCACATACTGCACGTGTAACCAGGGCAGTACCTTCCTCACGGATTCCAGCACTACAGTTTTGTGCCATCTGCATCTCTTCAGACTTTTACAGGTAAGTTCTATGATCAAATCATGGTAATGAAATGATTCTTCTCAACCTTGGTTGCTCATCGGAATCACCTGGGAAGCTTTAAAAACTACTGATGCCTGTGTCACAACCCCAGGGCTATTGATTCAGTTGATTTGAGAAATGGCCTGGGTGCTGAGATTTTTAAAAAATCTCCCCAGGAGATTTTAATGTGCAGGAAAGGTTAATAATCATTGCTTAGACTGAATACACTTTATATAGAAATAAACTTACTTATATATGATTTAAAATTCCATTTAGGTCGATAAATATTTATTGAGTGACTACTCTATATAAGGCATGAAGACAAACACCTGATACAGTCCGTACCAACAAGTAGCCAAAAGCTAATGCAAACTAGAGTGGGCTAGTGCAAGAGGGAGGGCAGGCAGGTACACAGAGGCTGTGTTCTGTACAAAACACTGTAGAGGCCAGGTGCAGTGGCTCATACCTGTAGTCCCAGCACTTTGGGAGACTAAGGCTGGTGGATTGCTTGAGGTCAGGAGTTCGAGAGCAGCTTGGCTAACATGGTGAAACCCCATCTTTACTAAAATTACAAAAATTAGCCAGGCATGGTGGGGGGTGCCTGCAATCCCAGCTATCTCGGGAGGCTGAGGCATGAGAATTGCTTGAACCCTAGGAGGCAGATGTTGCAATGAGTGAGATCACACCCCTGCACCTCAGCCTGGGCGACAGAGTGAGACTCTGTCTCAAAAACAAACAAAAAAACACTGTAGAAAGTAATCTTTTCTTCCTCCAGACTCAAGGAATTTTGTATAAGTCTTCAAAGAAAGTAGAATTCTATTTGGTTGGAGATGTATTTGGTTCTATTTTAGGAGATCCTAAAATATATCAGAGGTAATGGCATTTGAGATGGACTTGAAGGAACTGATAAGGCTTCCATAGGTGGAGACTGAGGAGAACCTTCCAGGCAGAAGCAGAAGAAAGGCATGTGGCTGGAAAGCGGGGTCTTGTGTGTGGTTTGCTGCTGTGTTGGGTACGTTTTCTGAGTAATGGATGAAAAGCTTTGGGATCATATTAGGGTAGCACAGGGCAGGTCAGCTGCTACCTGAGTTGGCTCCAGGTAGCCATTAGGGGTTTGAACACTTGAAATAATATTAATATAACTGGAGCAGTTATTGAGTAGGGAGAAACAGCAGGACTAGAGGCAGGAAGACCAGAAGGAGTACGTTATGGCTGAAGTCAGAAGTATTGAGGTCAAGTGGCCGGACCTGGTGGCTCATGCCTGTAATCCCAGCACTTTGGGAGGCCAAGGCAGGCATATCACTTGAGGTCAGGAGTTCAAGACCAGCTTGGCCAATATGGTGAAACCCCGTCTCTACTAAAAATACAAAAATTAGTTGTGTGTGATGGCTCACGTCTGTATTCCCAGCTTCTTGGGAGGTTGAGGCAGGAGAATTGCTTGAACCCAGGAGGCAGAGGTTGCAGTGAGCCAAGACTGTACCACTGCACTCCAGGTTGGGTGACAGAGCAAGACTCCATCTCAAAAACAAACAAACAAACAAACAAAAAACATGACTATTATTGAGTGCAAGTGAAGGAAGTAATGGAAGTCTGAACTGGAGCACTGCAGGGGAAAGGAAGAAACTCCTGACTATAAGAAGAATGATAGAAGTAGAATTAGCAGGACTTGTCCATTGATAGGGTAGAGGAAGCAAAAACTGACTTGGATGTTTCTTATTAGAATTATGAAGAATGTTGATGGTGCCATTAACAGAAATCATTAAACTGATTAAGGAATGATTTATAAAGGGAAGATGAATCTGATTTTGGATATGTTGAAAACAAACATCCAATGGAACTAAAATTTTTATTCAAATATTCCTCATTGTAATTGAATTCTAGTTGGATTCTTTTTTTAAAGTTAATATTTTGTAGAGATAGAGTCTTGCTATTTGCTTAGGCTGGCCTCGAACTCTTGGGCTCAAGCGATCCTCCTGCCTGGGCCTCCCAAAGTGTCGGAATTACAGGCATGAGTCATCGTGCTGGGTTGAATTCTAGTGGAATTCTTAAAGCAGGGCCCTGATTTGTTTGACACCGTGGTTCTCAACAAAGGGGTATTCTGCCTTTCAGGGAACATATGGCCATGTCTGGAGACATTTTGGGCTGCCACAACTTGGGGAAGAACAACTAGTGGGTAGAGGCCAGGGATGCTGCTAAACATTCTACAATGCACAGGACAGTCCGCCATAACAAAGAATTATCCTGTCCAAAGTGTCAGTACCCTTGAGGTTGGGAAACCCTGCTTTAATATAATCTAATAGCTCAAATTTCAGGAATTGTTAGGCCTGTTAATATTTGGGAGTGAGACAGTGCCACCTAGTGGTCAAATGTAATATTTATCCTAGTTCTCGAACACTAAAGGCGAGAGAAAAAATTCAGAAAGCTAAGACACAGAGATGAAGAACATCCTTTCATGGGAGAACTATCTAGGGTTTACAGAAGTAGGTGTGATGGGGAGGTCTAGTGTACAATCTAGAAGCAGTCCTGGAGTTAGAAAGTGCTCTTTAAGCTGGACACGGTGGCTTACGCCTGTAATCCCAGCACTTTGGGAGGCTGAGGTGGGTGGATCACTTGAGGTCAGGAGTTTGAGACCAGCCTGGCCAACACAGCGAAACCCCATCTCTACAAAAAATACAAAAATTAGCCGGGCGTGGTGTTGCGTGCCTGTAATCCCAGCTACTTGGGAGGCTGAGGCAGGAGAATCGCTGGAACCTGGGAGGCGGAGATTGCAGTAGGCCAAGATCGTGGCATTGCACTGAAGCCTGGGTGACAGCAAGACTCCATTAAAAAAAAAGAAAGAAAGAAAGAAAGAAAGTGCTCTTTGTTTATAAGAGATCTCATAATAGAAGTCAATATGGAAACAATATTTTACTGGATTCCATATGAAATGCATTCTATTCCATTAAGGGTGCCTGTATTGCATTACTGTTACTGAATACATTAAAAAACAGAATCTAATAATCCTGCTGAATAATTGAAATAGTTATTGCTTGGGGATGTAACCTATGGCTTGTTTTATTAAGAAATAAAGATTGAAAAGATTTTTAAAGTTATGAAAAAATAGAACGAAGAGCACTAGAAACTTCTACTTTGCTTCAAGAGACAGCATTCTGCATGCCTCAAATATTACCTTCTCTAGTAGGTTGTGAGCTCTCTGAGGGCAGGGACTGTGACTTATTCATATCTTTATATCTGCCTCAGTATCTAGCACAGCATCTCATACAGAGTAGACATACAAATGATTTCTCAAGTGAATGAATTTATTTTTATGCTGGAAATCCTTGCCTTGAAGTGAAGAAAGTTTCAAGCCTTTCTAAGCAGTTACTATCTGTTCACACAAATACAATGCCAGCCGGGGGTGCTTGGCACAGACAGCATCAGAGATTCGAGCACAGGGAATTGATAACAGACACCTGCCATTCATTTCCCTGGACAGCCTAGAGCAAACTGTGCTATCCTTAGCGTACCCAGGGCAGTGTTTGGACTGGTGTGTGGGTGGTAGACTCCTGCAGAATATAAGATTAGGCTCTCTTATAATAGGCATAATAATAGAAGATTCATTCATCCAGCAAATATTTATTGAATGTCTACTTTGTGCTAGGTACTCTTCTAGGCACTAGGGATATCACAGTGAACCTAAGTCTAAAAATTCCTTAAGAGGCAGGGTTTGAATTGGTGATTAGAATAAAGACGCATATTCCCCTTTCCCCCAACTTTTCCACTTAGCAGAATATTTTCTACATAGAAAATGCAATTTGACTAAAGATCTCAAAGCATTTCAAAGCGATTAAAGACCTCTCCTTCCAAAACCACTGCTCTGCTGGGGCAAGTGACAAAAACAACACTCTCCCATCATTTCCTCTCCTTGTTTGTATCTCTTCCTTCCTCCTGCACTTTCAGACTTTTGGGGAGAGGGGTAGGAGCGCGTGAGGTGTATTTTATGGGTAAATGATGACTCTTGCACATTTTGTAAGTGGCAGTTGAAGCTAGTAGTTTTTAAAGTGACCCCGCAGAGGATTTCTTTCTGATTGGCTTATTAACAATCCTTTAGTTCTAGTGTCTAGGGATATGCAAAGTCAGAAAAAACCAGTCACCACCCAAAAGAAAATGGTGCAGACAAGCTGGTAAGGCCATGTTTTGGCCACACAATAAATGCATTGTGCAATATCAAGTGTTTCAGTGAGTTTTGGACTCTCAAGCGCATTTTGACACCTTATTATGTGGCTCAGTACACCCAGGATATGCAAATCAAAAGTGTCTGTCTGCATACGTGAGCTGTATGGCATGACCTCCTAATGCTAAGTGGAAGCTGATTTAGTGAATTCACCAAAACTACTGCTATACATGTAATCGATGAAAGGCGATAGTGACCTCCCCACCTTTCTCCTTGGCATTGTTTGGTGAGTTAGTTACATCCTAAGGTCACTACTGCCTAACTCCTCTCAGCCCAGGCATATTGCTCCTAATTGCTCCTAGTACAACCTAAACATCCCTAACACAACAGGGGGCAGGGGAACATGCTAGTTTTTTCCCAAAGCAGTGGATGGCAACTGTGTGACATCTTTGGTTCATCTGTACTATCTTCTCACATCTCTGTTGGAATCTTTAGAAGGCACGGCCCTACCTTTCTCCCCCAGCTGAGACTGCAAGAATCTCTAGCTGACTTGTTCAAAGCACTCCTTGCCACAGGTCCAGCAGCGTGGGAACTTACTCAACTTCCATTGTTTGGAAACCACCAAGTCTGGCTTGTTCTCATTCCCCCTCCACAGTCCGCTCTGTTACACAGCAGGCACCCAGACATTCTTAAAGTTCATCACTCTCCACCACGCTCCGAGAAGAGCATGAATACACAATTGTGCTTTCCACGGAGGAAAAGGCAGAAAATATGTCAAGTCCTTTACTGGTGAGAGATCCGTAGCGACTGCCGCTGGGCCGGACAGACATGGGCGGTGGGATCTGATGGTGCCACTGAGCTGGAAAATGGACCAAATAATGTGTTATGATCAAAGGAATGCAGTCCAGCAGGTACACTGCAGAGGCGCATTCGGTCCTCACCCTGATGCTCCCTGCAGATTCTTGGTAAAGCATGTAACTATATCTGGGTCTGAATTGCCTCATCTGTAGAAAAGAACAATAAAGTCTTCCCTGCCAGGAATAAGGAAACTGTGCTGGCGATGTCTTAAGCCCCTAATTCCAAAATCTGTGATTCTAATTCAGTAAGATAATAGAATCCTACAAGTGAGAGATTAGAATTCCTCTAAGATGGGGCCAGGCACAGTGGCTCATGCCTGTAATCCCAGCACTTTGGGAGGCTGAGGCGGGCACATCACTTGAGCTCAGGAGTTCAAGACCAGGCTGGTCAACACGGTGAAACCCAGTTTCTACTAAATACAAATATGAGCTGGACATGGTGGCGTACACCTCTAATCCCAGCTACTCAGGAAGTTGAGGCATGAGAATCACTTGAACCCAGGAGGTGGCGGTTGCAGTGAGCCAAGATCAGGCCAAGGCATGCCACTTCACCTAAGTGACAGAGCGAAACTCCATCTCAAAAAAAAAAAAAAAAAAAAAGAATTCTATAAGATGGAAGAGTGAGTGACTAGGGCGATTTCTCAAGCTTATCCCCTTCCACCAGCCTACCATGAAGGCCTGTTAGGGGCAGTGTACAGAGGGTTGTAGGCTCTCAAAGAGGGTACCTCAAAAGATAGAGATAAGAAAGCTGCAGAAATGAAAGCCAAACAATGGGTTTGACCTGAGCAGTGCCTACCTCACACCCTAATCACCCTCATCAGCCATTACTTATCTACCCATCTCCCCAATCAGGTTCTATTGTTACAGCAAGAAGACTGAAAAGTAATTTAGGTACAATCAACCATGGTTCAGGGACAAAAGACAATTTATTAGAGTTTCTATGTTCACCAAGTGCTGCTGTTTTTAGTAGACATGACTTTAAGGTTTGAACATGGCCTGAGTGAGATACCCATCCAAACTTCACAGTCTCTGCCGTGGTTCCTGATTCAGAAATTACCAGGCAATCTTCTGATTAGGTTTCTGGGTACTTTGATGTGGAGAAGCGCGTTCCCTACGTGGGGAACTCTCATGCTGTGGGTCCTGGAAAGCTGTGCCCCTTTCTAGCATTCCGATTTAGAAATTGGTCCTTTGTTGATTTCATCGTCTTGATTCAGTTTTTCAGTCTACATACCTCTGAGTGAATTCGAAAAAATAAAAATCTGGGGGACCAAACCTAGAGCAGTTTCACCAAAGAGCAGACACTCACTAAGGCCCGCTCTTGCACAGTCTCTCGTCCCAGGCCCTCCATCTCTTAGCCCTTCCCTGCTCTCTCTGACATCGTAACTGGACTACTGCAGTTCCTAGGATTAGGAAGTGAGAGAAGAGAGAGGGGATCCCTATGTGTCCCCATTCCTCAGAAAGGCAGGAAGTGTGGTGGCGGGGAAGGGAACTGATTCCAGCCCAAGTCCTCCACGCCTTTTCCATCCTAGGTCCCAGCTGAGGAAACAGCACTGCCTATCGTTGGTGCTATGGAAGCAGGACAGGAACGAAAGGGAGAGGAGAGCCAGGACAAAGTGACCTGGAAACTCAGCCACTGGAGGGCAGGATTGGCACAAGAGTCATCTGTTTCAGGGCTTATTGGTAGGGAGTTTCTCAGTTGGAGACCTACTGCCTTCTGACTTGGTGAAGACTGGGAAATGGCTAAGGACTTAGCCTTGATTAAGGAACCTATCACTATTGGCCTCTTTCTCCCCCGATTTTTCCAGGGAAAAGCACATTAGTGTCTGCTTCCTTCACAGTTTAATTTCTTCTCAAGTCCTAGGAGAAGGGAAAATAACCAGAAAATTACATATTTTCTCCAAAAACTAGACCTAGGGAAAATGGCAGGCTGAAGCCCCTCCTGCATGGTACTAAACAAAGGGAATACCTGCTGTGTACCCATAAATAGCAGAGATGTCTATCAGGCAATAGACAGAGCTACTCTTATTTATTATGTTGGTTAATCAGGTTAAGCCAGTTTTGAATGTAAGGCTTTCTAATCAATTATGTTTTTTAAAAAAAGGATTAAAAAAAAAGAAACAATCTTTTGGGTTAAGAAATATGTCTTCAAAAATACCAGTTAATGTCAAAAAGTGTAGGATTGACTACACAAATACATAAATAAAAATTAATTTCTTGGATCCTTTTGAAAATTGGAAATGTGGTTCAAAGAAACAATGCAAAGGCCTAGATTTGCTTCCTAGCTGTAGTCACTAACCTCTCTGAGCCTTCCACTAAATATCTAACACAGCCAATTCAAGTGTGGGGGAGCTTCCCAGAAGACATGCTCCAGCTCAGTCTAAAAGGTTGAGTGGAAACTCACAGGGAGGGTGGGGCGGGCTGTTCCAGGTGGTGGGACAGCCTGTACAATGTTGTTACTCTCATGTAATCTTCAGCCTTAGATGAAGGTAACTACAATTATAATAATCTCATGGGTCTGGGAGATTTAAGGGTATCACTTTGGATCCCGCCTTTGGAAGAGAGAGGGGATCCTATGTGTCATTCTACAAATGTCACTTAATATTATTATTATTAGGATAGCTATTATTAAAGAAGTCTGGTTGGGGGATTGGAGCAATACACATTTGTTAAATGAATAAATGAAAGGAGTATCAAAAATTCTGCCAGGGGATCACAGGTAGTGGGAAGTTCCAGTGGGTGGCCCGCAGCAGCAAGGAGATGGCAAGAAATCATTGGATGTTCAGAAGCACAAGCACTTGGAAACTCTGGAATAGCTGTAATTCCTGGTATTAGAGGCCCTTTTTTGGAAGAAGGTTAAGCTCATAGTAAAATGTAAAAGTAATGCCCTGAGGTAACCAGGATGAGATGACTTTTAAAATCTATCTCTTAAGCCCTAAAATATAGTATAGCCTACTCAATTCATTTATGGAAGCGTACTCCATCTATCTTTAATTAATTAATTAATTAATTAATTTAGAGGCAGAGTCTTGCTCTGTTACCCAGGCTGGAGTGCAGTGGTGCAATCTCGGGTCACTGCAACCTCTGCCTCCTGGGTTCAAGCGATTCTCCTGCCTCAGCCACCTGAGTAGCTGGGATTACAGGCATGTGCCACCATGCCTGGCTAATTTTTGTATTTTTAGTGAAGGTGGGGTTTCACCATGTTGACCAGGCTGGTCTTGAACTCCTGACCTCAGGTGATCTGCCTGCCTTGGCCTCCCGAAGTGCTGGGATTACAGGCGTGAGCCACCTTGCCCGGCCCACTTATCTTTAAAGAAAGATTTGTAAGCTATCAGTTGCATACAGATGTTCAACTGACAGCATTACACTTACCGTATATATCCAGCCTGGCAGTGCACGACACGATGCCAGCTTCGTTCTTGGCTGACAACGTGTACCATCCAGCATCTGATTTCTTGGCTGGCTGAATGAGAAGGCAGGCATACCCTGTCGTGTCCTGGTGCATACTGGAGAAAAAGAGAGAATATACCTATATTTTATCTGGGGGCGGAAGTGCCTTTGTCAAATTTAAGGTTACAGGAAGAAGGGGGAACTCAGCTTAAGGCAAACATCAAGACAAATTTGAAGGTGGAAGACGTCACAGAAGAGCAGCAGTGAGCTTAATCATACTAGGAGGAGGGGACAGCTGGGGCTGAGACCTGCTCTTGCCCTCCCCACTGTTGCAAGTCCACTGAAGTTGCGCTCCCCACCAGCAGAACCCCCACTTTTCACAACCAAAGTACAGAAAGATCTCTTTTCCAAACAAGGTTGGACATTGCATCGATGACTTTGTTAGGATGCTCTGGGAAAGCAGGACGAAACAGAGCCAGGGGGTGGATGGACTGGCAGCATAGACGGCATTTCCTAATGTAAGCAGCCGGGTCATGCAGCATCCAGCTTCATGAGGTTTAGGAGGAAACCAGCCTGCTGTTTCCTTCTGTTTTTCTCCACATCAATAGTTTTTCACCTTGACTGCATGTTGGAATCCCAGGCCACATGCTAGGTAATTCTATCAGAGTCAAAGGCTGGGATCCAAGCATTAGGATTTTTGGAAACACCCCAGAGATTCCAATATGCAGCCATGGATCAAAAAACATTGGGCCACATGTTCCCTACACCCCTTGTTGGCCTGGCCCTCTTATCACTCATAGTTCCAAGCTCTCGTATGGGGCTGCCACAGCTCATTTGCATGGTAGGGGCAATAGCAACAGCTTCCTGAGCTCAAAGGATGAATAAGTGTTTGCCTTTCATTGAAAGTTATTATATCTAAGAATTTATAAAGTAATAAGAATAAACAAGAATAAATCAATTAATAACAAATACAACAAGAATAAAGTAATGAAATATCCACCACAATTTCACTAGATTAACACACTGGCTACCTTCACCTTCTGATTAGTTAATTAGTTAATCCATTCATTCTTCCATATATTTCTTTAGTAAACACTTACTGGATACTATGTTGGGGAAAATGCTGGGTGCTATCGCCTTGGGTGCTAAGGGTGTAAAGATGAACAGGACAAAAATTCCTTCTCTTTTTTTTGAGACAGAGTCTTGCTCTGTTGCCCAGGCTGGAATGCAGTGGCATAATCTTGGCTCACTGCACCCTCCACCTCCCGGGTTCAAGAGACTCTTGTTCCTCAACTTTCCAAGTAGCTGGGATTACAGATGCCCACCACCATGCCTGCCTAATTTTTTGTTGTTTTTAGTAGAAATGGAGTTTCACCGTGTTAGCCAGGCTGGTCTCGAACTCCTGACCTCAGGTGGTCCACCCGCCTTGGCCTCCCAAAGTGCTGGGATTATGGGTGTGAGCCACCACACCTAGCCAAAGAAATTCCTTCTCTAGAAGGATCCCTAAGTTTAATGGAAAATAAATAAATAAAAGATAAATAAGTATAAATAAAGATAAATAGAATGCAAATGCTAGAGTAATGCTGTGGGAAAGATGCCTGGGGAAGACAGAGGGGAAAAGGTTATTCTGGGAAGCCGCAGTCATCAAGGAGGAAGCATGAAGATACTGGATGTTCAGAAGCACAAGCATATGTGAAGTTAGGCTCACAGAAAAATGTAACACTGTATAAAGACCTGAGATGACTAAAATGAGATTACTTTAACAATCTATTTCTCAAGCACTGAAATATAATGCAGCCAATTCAAGGGCGAGAAAACTTCCCAGAAGATGTGCTCCGGCTCAGTCTCAAAAGTCGAGTGGAAACTCACAGGGAGGGTGGGATGTGGCTGTTCCAGGTGGTGGAACAGCCTGCACAAAGGCATGGTGGTGTGGGAGGGAGCGTGGCATGTTCCTTACAGCTGGGGTTGGAGGGCACACCGGGTACTGGCAAGTGGGGGGACTGGGAAGAAGGCAGGGGAGAGGGTCACGTGCACCATGGTAAAAGGTTGGGACCCTTCCTCTCAGATTATGGGAAACTAATGATGTATTTTAAGCAGGAGCTGATATGATCCGTTTGTATTTTTTATTTTTTATTTTTTTCTGAGATGGAGTCTCACTCTGTAGCCCAGGCTGGAGTGCAGTGGTGTGATCTCAGCTCAGTGCAACCTCTGCCTCACAGGTTCAAGTAATTCTCCTGCCTCAGCCTCCCAAGTAGCTGGGATTACAGGCACGTGTCACCATGCCTTGCTAATTTTTGTATTTTTAGCAGAGACAGGGTTTTGCCATGTTAGCCAGGCTGGTCTCCAACTCCTGACCTCAGGTGATCTACCTGCCTTGGCCTCCCAAAGTGCTGGGATTACAGGCGTAAGCCACTGCACCCCGTCAGTTTGCATTCTTAAAAGATCATCTTCACAGTGGTGAGGAGGTGTATTGAATAGGGCTTGAGCCTGGCCGCAGAGAGACACATTAGGATGCTATTGCTGTAGTTTGATGAGGTGAGGCAATAGCAGTGGAAATTCATGCATTTGTTCATAATTCCTTCATCTTACATAATATACTACTAGGTGAAAGGCATTGGGTGTTGTGATGAGTCAGGACATATGAAAACAAAGGAGACGCGGTCTCTTCCCTCAAGATGCTCACAGTCTAGTTGTGGGAGAGAGAATGAAAGCATCAATACTAACAATTGTGACTATGTGCAAGAGTTGCTGGTAGAAGAACATCAACTCAGTCCTGGACTAAGTAGGGGAGGAAGCAAGGGCACTGCTTTTCCTTAGACAGATGATGTTTGAGGTGAGTGTTAAGGGATAACAGACATTAGAGAGGTGGGCTGCAGCATGTGGGTAGGGGAGAAGGCGAAGAGAGTTCCCAAAGAAGGAATGTCCTGAGCAGAGGCATATAGGTGAGAGAAGTCAGGGACATGAAAACCGTAAATACTTACAGCACAGTTATAATCATGGTGATATACAGGCAGTTCCTGACTTAGGATGCTTGCATCCCGTATGGTCCTCAATTTATGATGGGGTTACATCCAGATAAGTCCATAGTAAGTTGAGGAGCAACTCTCTCTCTCTCTCTCTCTTTCTCTCTCTCCCTCTTTCTCTCTCTCTCTCTGTGTGTGTGTGTGTATGCGTGCATTTATTTAGGACCATTCAGATGTTCCTAGGTGTGTAGGTGTGTGGTTTTCAGAAGCTAATCACTACGACTTTAAAGTACCAAAATATCCTATTCTTTTTTTCTTTTGAGACTGAGTTTTGCTTATCCCCAGGTTGGAGTACAATGGCATGATCATGGCTCACTGCAGCCTTCAAATCCTGAGCTCAAGCAATCCTCCCTTCTCAGCCTCCTGAGTAGCTGGGGCTACAGGTGTGTGTCACCATGCCTAGCCAATTAATTGTTTTTTAGAGATGGGGTCTTGCTATGTTGCCCAGGCTGGTCTTGAACTCCTGGTCTCAAGCAATCCTCCTGCCTTGGCCTCCCAAATTGTTGAGATTACAGGCATGAGCCACTGTGCCCAGCCAGAATGTCGTATGCTTACATTAAAATGACAGGCATCTTTTCACTAAAGGCAGGGGGAAGATGAATGGGCAGTGAATGGGCAGCAGTCTCTGAGTCTTAGGCTTTCCCCACCGCAGCATTTCAGTCACTCCTCCTCCCTCCCCTGCCACTGCCTTCCCCAGGAAGTGGTGACCAAACCGAGCTGGTCCTCAGAGTCCAGGGCTGAGCAATTACCCAGCCCCAGCAGTCAGCCTCGACTAGGAATGAGCTTTCCAGACATTGATTTTGTTTTTGCCCAATAAAACCATATTTAAAATTGTAGACCCTCAGTTTACTTAGTGTATATAGTTTAATCTAGTTTAACATGTTGCATTGTTAGATTGGAGCGTTAACCCAAGACTATTCTCTGTTCTTGCTTAAGTTTTACTGGAGAAAAATACACACCCCCACACCGCCAACACACACAATACACACACATATTTTAGATGACAAAATTCTTTAAACCCAACAGCTACAACATCCTCTGGGGCAATTTCAGTTTACTGTGGAGAAATAATTTTCAGTAGAAAGTTTTGTACGGAAGCTACCTTTACTTACTTGTCCCCTTGTAGGATAAAACCAAAATGGCAAATAAATTGCCATTTCCCTAAGTTGGTTAGGGAAGATTTTTTTTGAGACAAGAGTCTCGCTGTGTCGCCCAGTCTGGAGTGCAGTGGCGTGATCTCGGCTCACTGCGAGCTCCGCCTCCCGGGTTCACGCCATTCTCCCGCCTCAGCTTCCCGAGTAGCTGGGACTACAGGCGCCCACCACCGCACCTGGCTAATTTTTTGTATTTTTAGTAGAGACGGGGTTTCACTGTGTTAGCCAGGATGGTCTTGATCTGACCTCGTGATCCACCCGCCTCCGCCTCCCAAAGTGCTGGGATTACAGGCGTGAGCCACCGCGCCCGGCCTGGTTAGGGAAGATTAAGCAAGGTACCCAGTTTAAGAAACTGGATCCTTAAGTTTACCTTAAAAACAATCATTTAGTGATGGATGGAAAAGGAGTGTAACTGCCTTGATGCTTTATTTTGTTTTAGTTTTTTTACTTCAAAGAGCTTTTCTGGGTCCTAATATAAATGAAGACATGGGACAAAAAATGTGCAAAGTCTGTACCTGATCCTCTCTCTGGTGAAAGGGATAGTCTCATTGTCTTTCTTCCAGTAGAACACAGGTGGGGGCATGCCTATCACGCGGCACTCCAGTCTCACAGGGTGGCCTTCGGGAACACCACAGTTCTGTAGTTTCTCCAGGATCACTGGTGCTTTCTTCACCTCTTTGGCTGAGCAAGAGAAGGGTCATTCTTTTTCTCTTTGGTTTTTTTTTTTTTTTTTTTTAGACTTGCTCTGTCACCCCGGCGGGGGTGCAGTGGGGCAACCTCAGCTCACTGCAACCTCTGCCCGAATCCCTTCCCCACCGGGTTCGGGTGATTCTCCAACCTCAGCCTCCCGAGTAGCTGGGACTACAGGTGTGCACCACCAGGCCTGGCTATTTTTTGTCATTTTAAGAGAGATGGGGTTTCACCATGTTAGCCAGGCTGATCTCGATCTCCTGACCTCAGGTGATCCACCTGCCTTGGCCTCGCAAAGTGCTGGGATTACAGGCGTGAGTCACTGCGCCTGGTGGAGAAGGGTCATTCTTATTTGAATAGTAAGTACTTTGAGGTTCATGCCTCACACTCACCACAGTTCTAGAATTTAGCCCAGCGGGCATGCACCCACCTTACCTCCTGGTCAGAACACTCCTCATGACTCTTAGTGAGGATCACTGCCTTGATAAAAGCTTCATAAATGGTTTAAAAAACCAAAAGAAATGGGGCAACCATCTCTGCACATCCCACGAGAGGCAATACTTGAGGATCTGGGTCATACGCACAGGATGCAAATGCCAGGAATGGTGGAATTAAAGGAATTTATTTTATACCTCAACAGTAGATTTTGAGAAACCATATATTCTATTTACTGAAACAGATTTTGGGGGGAGGAGTTTTATTTTGTAGAAGTCATAATAGTTTTTCCACAAAAATCTGATACCTACAGAATAATACTATCTCAAACACACACACAAGACTGTGCTTCCCAAGGGGGCTTTTAGAGATTTGGCCAGGACAAATTTAGGTAAAGGTCCCTCATGTCTTAGGGTTCCAAAGCCAATATTTTTTAGCAAAATAGTGGAATAAAGGTAAAAGCCTGAAATCAATGTATTCTTGCAGAATGAGTTTTTCCTATTTTATTGGTGAGAAGAAATTAAAAGTGAGGAAAGGAAAAAGATATACAGGGGAAACTGCCACTAGCCTAGAGTGAGGATTATCATGCTGAAGGCACCCTGATTTTCTTCTTCTTTTTTTTTTTTCTTCTTCTTCTTTTTTTCTTTTTTTTGAGATGGAGTCTTGCTCTGTCACCCAGGCTGGAGTGCAGTGGTGCAGTCTTGGCTGACTGCAACCTCCCCCTCCCGGGTTCAAGTGATTTCTCCCACCTCAGCCTCCCTATTAGCTGGGATTACATGTGTGCGCCACCGCACTCAGCTAATTTTTGTATTTGTAGTAGAGATGGGGTTTCGCCATGTTGGCCAGGCTGGTCTTGAACTCCTAACCTCAGGTGATCCGCCTGCCTCGGCCTCCCAAAATGCTGGGATTACAGGCGTGAGCCACCGTGCCCCACACCCTGATTTTCTTAAAAGGTCACACCAAGAGCAGGAGGAAGCCCAGCACCAGAATTCCTGCATTCTGAAATTTACTTCTGGTTGGACTACTGCTCTGCAAGGCTGGCACCTCCCAGATGACAATGTCTTGTTATCCTTATGGATAGGCATTACAGTGTTTTGTTCACATCATCTAAGAATATAAAATTTCATTTGTTTAGATATTGATTCAATATTTCTTGGGCACCTTCCACGTTCCAGGCACTGAGATACGCAGAAGAGAGACAGAGGCACTGGAGATGCGCAAGACGAGCCACAGTCTCTGACCTCAGGAGCTCAGCATCTCTTCAGGGAGGCAAAGAATTAACAGTTACACAGAAGGCCCTACGTACTCTGTGAATCTCTCCTTTTCTGAGTGCTATAGAAACACTTTATTGTTGTTAGGCTGGGAAGGGGTAGTTGTGCCTGGTGGATTCACTGTACCTGGCGGTGACATTTCAGTTAGACCTTACAGAATGAGTAGGAGGTTGCCAGGCAGAAAAGGATATTCTGGTAGAGGGATCATTGGTGCAAAGGCATGAAAACTTAGACGGGGGACAAAGAGGCTGGTATGTTCCAGGAATGATGGACTGCAGGGCACATAACTGGAATTTAGTGACGGCTAATGGATGGATGGATTGATGATTACAATGGCTCTCATTTATTTAATGGGTATTATGCACATGGTATCAGGTTATGATTTTAGATTACTGGCAGGGTTTTGAAAGTGATGTGAGAAATACTGTCCCACCACAGTGAAGGGGAAATTGAGATTGGAGTTAGCCAGGCAAAGGATGAAGGAATTCTGGCAGAGGCTCTGCCTATTTGGGCAATGACTTTGGAGGAAGTTTTGTTTAGGGGTCCCAGCAGCAAACCTTACCTACTACAGAGAGCTCCAGGCTAAAAGAATTCTGCCCGGTTTTGTTGGTAGCGATGCACGTATAGGTCCCTGCGTCGCGCTGAGTGAGCGGGTCAATGAGCAGAGAGTGGACTCCGGTCTCCCTGACCAGCATCTTGTGGGAGGCATCTGGTAGCACAGGTTGGCCATTGAGTAGCCACGTCAGCTCCGGGGGCGGTAAACCACTCACCTAATAAACAACAGGACAGCTGAGGCAAATGACTGACAACAGGCACAGTTATTTGATGGCTGAATTCTTTATCCTTGCTTGGCACCAAACAAACAGTGAGAGAAAACATGGAGTGATGAAAAAGCTCTCTGTAGGGGCATCGAGAGAAAAGAAGGGTCTGAATAAACGGCTGCATGAATTTGAACTGTATGGTACTTTGATCACAGTTGAGGTCATGGTTAACCTATGTGATTATACTCTAGATTAGAATAAATAAGAATTAAAAAGCGAAATAGATAGATACAATAGGCCTGCAGCATCAATTTCAGAGACGATATACTGTTTACATACCTAATAGCCAAGAGAAAAGCCAGATTTTTTTTTTTCTAAAACCAAAAAACAAAAACAAAAACACAGGATACATGTGCAGAACGTGCAGGTTTGTTACATAGGTATGCATGTGCCACGGTGGTTTGCTGCACCTATTGAACTGTCCTCTAAGTTCCCTCCCCTCACCCCTCCCACCCCCCCAACAGGGCACGGTATGCCTCCTCCCTGTGTCCATGTGTTCTCAGTGTTCAACTCCCACTTATGAGTGAGAACATGTGGTGTTTGGTTTGCTGTTCCTGTGTTAGTTTGCTGAGGATAATGAAAAGCCAGATAGTAAACCAGAGTTCTTGAACCTTGCTGTATATTAATTACAATCATGTGGGAGGTGTTTAAAAATCCTGGTGCCCATTTACCATAAATCAGAATCTCTGGGGATGGGACCCGGGCATGGGAATCTTTCAGAGTTTAGGGAGGGGGATGTAACAATCAATCTGAATATTATTTAGGCAGCCACAAAGAGAAGAAGAACCATAGATAGCATAGATAGAAGTGGACCCTTTACGGATGCTTAACCTCAAGCTTTGACTAATTTGCATCTAAGTCTTCCATAGCATTCTGCACCTATGGGGCAGAAGGGTGATGTAAGCTTCTCTTCACACTGAGAGATATCCACGCTGCTCAACTAAAGCCTGGTCAAAAAATGAGAACGTAGAATAGCTAAAGGTAAAGGAGGTTGATTAGTATGAGAAACCAGCTTTTGTTCTCATACACTACCTTGGGGCCATATTTTCACGTCTGTACATTTTCAAAGGCCACAAGTCCAACAATTCACTTCAAGGATGTGAAAATCACACCATATGGCTTTATGGTTTTTATTACTTTCCAGACACCAAATGAAAAGACTTGTATCTAAATCTTCCGTGGCATTCTAGAATTCTTAAAAGGCTTAGATGCAAATGTCTGAATTATAGTAGTCCTCCTTTTATCTAAAGTTTCAGTTACCTGAGGTCAACCACAGTCTGACAATATTAAATGAAAAATTTCAGAAATAAAGTTTCTAAGTTTTCAGTTGTGTTTCGTTCTGAGTGGCATGATGAAATCTCATGCTGTCTTACTCCATCCTATCCAGGGTATGAATCACCCGTTTGTCCACCGTGTTCACACTGTCTATGCTACCTGCCCCTTAGATGGTAGCTGTCTTGGTTATCAAATTTAAAAAATACTATATATAGGGCTCAGTACTACCTAAAGTTTCAGGCATTCACTGCGGGGCTTGAAACGCGTGCCCCTCAGATAAGGGACAACTACTGTGTATCACCTCTTTGGTTGTCTTCTAAAAATGCAATTAACTTGATATAACACCAATGTAATTTTTATTAATATCTAAAGATTCAAAAATTTCATAAAATAATTTTGTCTGACATTAAATACTCCAAACAAGCTTTATGATAAAAAAAAGTGATCTCTCTCCCTTCCCCATCTCATCTTTCCTGAAAAAAGAAACCCACAAAACAAATACAAACAAAAATGAATGCAAACAAATACAAAACATGAACAGATCTGGAACCAAGGATGGGTGCCGGAGCGTACCTTACAGTCGAGCCGACAGAGGCGCCCCTCGTGAGCTACCATATCCCCAGGAGCCTGCAGGAAATGTGGTCGGAAAAAGCGTTCCTGTAGGGGCTCTTTGTCTCTTTCTTGCACTCGGGATCTTCCCCTATAAGAACAAGCGTGTTCAGATATTAAACAGAGAAATAAATTTACAAATTTATGATGATAGGCATTTAGGCATGGCTACAGGACCTAGAGAACAGATTTTTTTTTTTTTGAAGGGAGAAAGGGGAGGCTGGAGCATAAACAATAAATAATGGTGTGGAGCTGACGTAAAACACAAAGTGGTAAGTATCTCACACACTGTGGGACTGTCTTGTGAGATCTGCAATCAAATAAACAGGCTTAGCTTCTTTCTGTCATTCTGGGTTAAGTGGGCTCAGCTCACCTTGCTATGAGTTCAACCAGTTGTTCAAAAGTCATCAAAATAAACAAATAGATCAGTATTCAATCCGAACCTCAAACAAGAGCCAAAAGAGAAGTCCTGTTTATTACCCAGAGCAAGGCAGCTGCAATCCCTGTGTCTTTGAGTAATAAAATTTAACCTGGCTATAAATCATGGCAGACCATTAAAGATGAGTATGAACTTAAACTGGATAAGACTGAACAAAAGTAACAGCTGTTCTTAAAAAAGAAAGGAGGAGGAGGAAAAGAATGAGGAGGAGAAGGCAAAGGGAGAGGGGGCCAGGTTTGGTGGCTCAAGCCTGTAATCCTAGCACTTTGAGAGGCTGAAGCAGGTTGATTGCTTGAAGAGTTTGAGACCAGCCTGGGCAACATGGTGAAACCCCATCTCTACAAAAAATACAAAAATTAGCCGGGCATGGTGGCGCACATCTGTGGTCCCAATTACAGGAAGGCTGAGGTGGGAGGATAACTTGAGCCCGGGAGGTGGAGGTTGCAGTGAACTGAGATCGCACCACTGCATTCCGGCCTGGATAACAGAGTGAGACCCCATCTCAAAGAAAAAAAAAAAAAGAAAAAGAAAAAAAAGAAGAAGAAGAAGGTATAGTTGCAATGCTGGTAAAATACTGTATCTGAAACATGGGTCACTATTTTTGTTCCTTTGGTAAGTCACATTTAATTCTTCTGTGTCAGCAGCTATGGAATGCTTTGCTAAGACTTTGTGGCACCATAAGATTCAAGTGGAGAGCCAGGCTCTTTCTTCTTAGTGGTTAGTAAAACCAGAGGAAGAAAACCAGTTGTTACACTGGAGACAACAAAAACATTCCATCAATATACATTCAATCATGAAAGGTTTCTGTTTTATTAAACAAAAGATAGTAACTTACTTCAATGGGTCTGATTTACATATTATGTGTGCAGGTGCTACTGATGGTTACAAATTTTGAACCATTAAAAGCATGCCAGGTTGGGAGTGGTGGCTCATGCCTGTAATCCCAGCACTTTGGGAGGCCAAGGCAGGAGGATTGCTTGAGGCCAGGAGTGTGAGACAAACCTAGGCAACATAGCGAGACACCTGTCTCTACACACACATAGAAAAATTTAGCCGGCATGGTGGCATGCGTCTGTAGTCTCAGCTACTTGGGAGGCTGAGATGGGAAGATGGCTTGAGCCCATGAGTTTGAGGTTGCAGTGAGCTATGATCACACGACTGCACTCCAGCCTGGGCAACAAAGTGAGACTTTGTCTCTAAAAAATAAAAATCAAACTTAAAAAAAAATCCCAGAGACTAGTGCTTGTTAAACTTTACTATGCTTGTGAATCACCTGGGAATTCTGTTAAAATGCAGATTCTGAGTCAGTAGATCCGGAGTGGGGCCTGGGATTCTGCATTTCCAGCCAACTCCCAGGTGATGCTGATGCTGAAAGTGAAGGACTACCTTTAATTAAGAATTCATGGATCCAGTAGTTTGGTGCTCATGATAGTGGGGAGGTGCTTGGGAAGGACCTAGAGAAGAGGAATTCTTATTGTTTTTACCTGTGAGACTGACCAGCAGAGGTTAGTCGACTGCGAATGGGCAAACTTTGTACCATCAAGTGGCCAGAACAGCTGATTCTCCCCTGACAAACAGAAAATGAACAAGATTAAAATAAGAAGAATCTCACACTTTTTCAATGTACATAAAATTTTCTGGACCAGAACACTGTGAAATTTTGACTATTATGAGTTTTTCTTTGGGGGAGAGGAATAAAAACAATAAAATCAATAAAATATGATTTCTTAAATCACTGTTAATATTCCAGGGGAGAGATTTTTAAGAGTATGGTAATGACTTTCATTTTAAACTGAGATATAAACAGCACAAAGGTAAAAAGAAATTTGAATTCTTATGTACTTAACGTTATTTGCAGTCATAACTTAAAAGCATGGCCAAATATTTTCATACGTTCCTCAACAGAGACTCTTTAAAACTAACATTTCAGTAGGAATGGATGTTATAGTTCTGTACTTCCTACTCAAATAGTAATTGAAGATGTTTATTCTGCCACATCTTTTAGGGGAGTTTTAATATTTGCCTTCATTCAGAAAAGGAAAGTGGATGATTATGGCTTTCCAAGTTTAAAAAACAAAACAATCCAAAAATGTGGACATTATGAGTTTGAGGGACATTCACAAACCTTTGCAAAGTAATTTGCCTATTCGCTAAAGAACAAAAACGACAGATCATTCCTGATAGAATGATTGGTCAATTGATTTATTGACTCTTCAAGAGAATCAATGTGTTGAGAAACACAAGACTGAGTTCAATAAGTCTGCAAGGTATACACAGTGAAAAAATAGTACTAGTGTCCCTTGACAAAGGCTGAAGCATTGAGTGACCTGTTAGTGGCTAACTAGTCTTTTAAGTTGTGATGCTGTGCCCTAGTTACACACAATCACAATGCTTCTCATTCATTTTCCTCAGCAATCCTTAGTAACTCGCACTTCTCAAGGTCTCATTCACAATGACATCAACTGCTCCTTCCTCAGAGTGCAGCACAGCGCAGAACCCTGCGTCTCCACCTGGGGGTTGGCTGCCATGATGGTGTAGTTGCCATCGTCATCACTGGTGGTGGATTCAATGTGCAGAGAACATGTCCCATCTCCTTCTCGCCTCATTTTGCAGTGCTCATTTCTCTTAGAAATCTGCTTACCATCTTTGAACCAGTAAACCTGAAATGAAAAATTATCAACATATACACTGTTTTGTTTATCTTTAGAGGTTAATAAACTAGGGTCTGGGGTGAAGCAAGGGACAACTGCCATCTTTTAAGTGACCCATACTTTATGAAGCACTTGGAAAAAAAAGTTATAAAACATATTAAAAATGACTGTATAATCTGCCCCTCGACTTGTACCTACATAATACTATTTAACATTAAATGTTATTATTTAAGTCAAGAATTCAATATAATTTAGGACTAAGATGAAGTTTTTGACGATTTTTCTTGTACTTCATATTTAGTTTTAAAAACTACCCTAAGGAATGGACATGTCTTCAGAAGCAAAATAATGAAAACCAGGAGACGGGATATTTTTTCATTACCTTATTTACAAGTTCAAGTCTCCTGCAGTTGCAGATCTCAGCACTTAGAACAAGTCACCTTGCTTGAAAGGTTAGTATGGTTTGTTGCACTAAATGGAATGAGGCTAGGATTAACTTGCTAAATTTCTCATCCAGCCAAAATGTAAATATCTCTGTGTGAGTGTGTGTGTATACGTGTGTGTGTGCGCACCCACATACACATCTATCTATATATCTCATGTTAAGTTTTGCATGTGTGAAGGAGATCTCTCAAAGACAGAGGAGATAAACACTGGTTGCAGCTGTCCTCCTCTACTTTTCCTGGTTACCTAACCATACATGATAACACTATGCTAATATTTATGAAAGAAGAGCAGAGAGATTCTCTGCCACAAACCATGCTGGGTGTAAATCCTTCTCTCAGCTGACTGCCAAAAAATCTGCTGATTTATGTGATTTTTCAGCATCCAGTGATAATGATGTGACATTCTTAGCATTTACCAACCTAATAGTAATGCTACAAATATAGCTCACTTTGTACAAGAACAGGTACCCTGTGGATATTAAATAGATATTAAGTAGACAGAAAAATATCAGTTTGGTGAACTTGATGGCTATGAAAATCGATAGCCCAAAATATAGTATCATGACTAGGACACTTATTTTAAACTTTTATTAAAATTTGAACTTACCCATAAGTCTGATTTCTTTTTAGCCTGACTATTTAATGATCTCATTCCTGATGGGTTTTTTTTAAGTGAAATTATCTGGGCTTTGCTAATTTTCTGGTATGGGTTTTCATTCTCTTTGTAGATACTTCACTAGAGTCTGATAAGACTTTCTTACTAAAAGGGAAGTTTATAGCAATAAATTCCTACATAAAAAAACCCAGAAAGACTCCAAATAAATTAGCTAAAGAGGCATCTCAAGGAACAAAGAACAAACCAAATCCAAAATTAGTAGAAGGAAAGAAATAATAAATACAGAGCAGAAATCAATGAAATTGAGACTAAAAAAATACAAAAGACCAAAAATACAAGAGATGAAAAGTTGGTTTTTTAAAAAGATAAACAAAATTCACAAACATTTAGCTAGACTAAGAATCAGAGAAGAGAGAAGACTCAAAAAAATAAAATAAGAGATGAAAAAGGAGACAATACAACTGATACCACAGAAATACAAATGATCACTAGAGACTGTTGTGAACAACTATATGCCAGCAAATTGCAAACCCTGGAAGAAATTGGCAAATTCCTGGACACATATAACCTACGAAGACTAAACTACGAAGAAATAGAAAACCTAAATAGACCAGACCAATAATGAGTGATGAGACTGAAGCAGTAATGAAAAAGTCTCCCATCCAAGAGAAGCCCAGGGCCTAATGGATTCACTGTTGAATTCTACCAAATATTTAAAGAACTAATATCAATTCTACTCAAACTATTTCAAAAAATTAAAGAGGAGGTAATACTTCCAAACTCATTCTACAAGACCAGCATTATCCTGATACTCAAACCAAAGACCCAATAACAACAACAGCAACAACAAAAAGACGACAGGTAAACATTCCTGATAAACATAGGTGCAAAAATCCTCAACAAAATACTACCAAACTGAATTCAACAACACATTGAAAAGATTATTCATCATGATCAAGTGTGATTCATCTCAGCTCTGCAAGGATGATTCAACATAGGCAAGTCAATAAACATGACACATCACATCAATAGAATCAAAGACAAAAACCATATGATCATCTCAACAGACAATGAAAAAGCACTCAATAAAATTCAGCACCTCTTTATGATAAAAAATCCTCAACAAATTGAGTGCAGAAGGAACACAACACAATGAAAGTCATATATGACAAACCCACAGCTAATACCGTACGGAACAGGGAAAAATTGAAAGTCTTTACACTAAGATCAGGAACAAGACAAAGATGCCCACTTTCACCACTTTTATCCAACATAGCCCTAAAAGTCCTGGCCAGAGTAATTAGGCAAGAGAAAGAAATAAAGGGTACCCAAACTGGAAAGGAAGAAGTCAAATTATCCTTGCTTGCAGATGACATGATCTTATGTTTTAGAAAAATGTAGGCTCTATCAAAAACCTCTTAGGGTAAACAAATTTAGTAAAGTTGCATGATACAAAATCAACATACAAAAATCAGTAGCATTTCTATACACTAACAGCAATCAATCTGAAAAAGAAATCAAGAAAGCAATACAATACCTACAAAAATAAATAAATAAAATGCCTAGGAATACATTTAACCAAAGAAGTGAAAGATCTCTACAAGGAAAACTATAAAACACTGAAAGAAATAGAAGAGGGCACACACACAAATGGAAAGATATCCCATGTTCACGAATTGGAAGAATTAACATTGTTAAAATGTCTATACTGCTCAACGTGATCTTCAGATTCAACGCAATCCCTATCAAAATACCAATGACATCCTTTGCAGAAATAGAAAAAACAGGCTGGGAGTGGTGGCTCACGCCTGTATTCCTAGCATTTTGGAAGCCCAAGGTGGGTGAATCACTTGAGGCCAGGAGTTCAAGACCAGCCCGGCCAACATGGCGAAATCCCATCTTTATTAAAGTTACAAAAATTAGCCAGGCATAGTGGCACACAGCTGTCATCCCAGCTACTCGGGAGTCTGAGGCAGGAGAATCGCTTGAACCTAGGAGGTGGAGGTTGCAGTGAGCAGAGATCTCACCACTGCACTCCAGCCTGGGCAACAAAGCAAGACCCTGTCTCAAAAAAGGAAAAAAAAAAATAGAAAAAGCAATTCTAAAATTCATATGGAATCATGAAAGACCACAAATAGCCAAAGCAATCCTGAGCAAAAAGAACAAAGCTGGAGGCATTATGCTACTAGATTTCAAATTATACTATAAAGCTATGGTATCCAAAACACCATGGTACTGGCATACAAATAGACACATAGACCAATGGAACAGAATAGAGAACCCAGAAATAAATCCATGTATTTATAGCCAACTCATTTTTGACAAGGGCACCAAGAACATACATCGAGAGAAAGGAAAGCCTCTTCAATAAATGGTGCTAGGAAAACTGAATACTCATATGGAGAAGAATGAAACTAGATCCTCACCTGTCACCAGATAAAAAAATCCACTCTAAATACATTAAAGACTTAAATGCCAGGCCTGAAACTATGAAACTACTAGAAGAAAACAATGGGGAAACACTATAGGATATTGGTCTAGGCAAATTTTTTGGGGGGTAAGACCTTAAAAGCACAGGCAACAAAGGCAAAAATAGATAAATGGGATTACTGCAAGTAAAAAGCTTCTGCACAGCAAAGGAAACAATTAACAAAGTGAAGAGACAACCTACAGAATGGGAGAAAATACTTGCAAAGTATTCATCTGACAAGGGATTACTAGCTAGAATATATAAGGAACCCAAACAACTCAATAGCAAAAAACAAAAACAAAAACCAAGACTGTTAAAACTGGGCAACAGGCCTGAATAGGCTGGGCGTGGTGGCTCACGCCTGTAATCCCAGCACTTTGGGAGGCTAGGGTCTCCAGGGTGGATCACCTGAGGTCAGGAGTTTCAGACCCGCTTGGCTAACATGGTGAAACCCCATTTCTACTAAAAATACAAAAATTAGCTGGGCATAGTGGCGGGCGCCTGTAATCCCAGCTACTCAGGAGGTTGAGGCACGAGAATCGCTTGAACCTGGGAGGCAGAGGTTGCAGTGAGCCGAGACTGTGCCACTGCGCTCCAGCCTGGGCGACAGAGTGAGACTTTGTCTCACACACACACACAAAAGACCTAAATAGACATTTCTCAAAAGAACACATACAAATGGCCAACAGGTATATGAAAAAATGTTCAACATTACTAATCAACAGGAAAATGCAAATCAAACCCCAAGAAATATCATCTCACCAGAGTTAGAATGGCTATTACCAAAAAGACAAAAAAATAACAAGTGCTGGTGAGGATGTGGAGAAAGGGGAACCCTCATACACCATTGGTGGAAATGTAAAGTAGTGCAGCTGTTATGGAAAACAGTATGGAGACTGTTTTCTCCAAAAAACTAAAAATAGAACTACCATATGATCCAGCAATCCCACTGCTGGATATATGTCCAAAAGAAAGGAAATCAGTATGTTGAAGAGATATCTGCACTCCTGTATTTATTGCAGCACTATTCACAATAGCCAAGTTACAAAATCAACCTATGTGTCCATCAGTGGATGAATACATAAAGAAAATGGGGTATCTATACACAATGGAATATTATCCTGCTATAAAAAGAATGAATGAAATCCCATCATTTGCAGCAAAATGGATGGAACTGGAAGTCATTATGTTAAGTGAAGTAAGCTGGGCACAGAAAGACATGTATTGCATGTTCTGACTTATATGTGGGAGCTAAAGGAAATGATCTCATGGAGGTAGTGAGTAAAATGGTGGTTACCACAGTCTGGGAGGGGTAGACGGGAGAAGGGAATGAAGAGAGGTTGGTTAATGGGTGAAAACGTACAGTTAGATAGAAGAAATAAGTTCTAGTACTTGACAGTACAGTGGAAAAATTATAGTTAATAATAACTTGTTGTATATTTCAAAATAGCTAGAAGAGAAAAACTGTAATGTTCCTAATACACAAAAAAGATAAATGTTTGAGTGATGGATATCCCAGTTATCCTGATTTGATCATTACACACCATATACAAGTATAAAATATCACATATACCCTAAAACATGTACAACTATATCAATAACAAATACAAAAAAGAAGAAAAAACATTGTGTATATTTTTTAAAGACCTTCTTGAAGGCACTGTCTATAGTTCCATGCTGTTAGGTAGCCAACTGGCTTGTCATCTTCCCCTACCTTTGGAACAGGTATCCCAACAATTTTGCAAGTGAATGTGACTGGAGAGCCTTCTGTGACCCGGAAGTGCTTGAGTCTCTTGTCAAAGATGGGAGCAATACACTTGCCCGTGGGGATCTCATCGTGTTGAATTTCATCATCTGATTCATCAACAGGAGTACGTTCCAAGCGAAACTCTATTTCATTCATCAGCCTCTGCTCAAAGCTTGAAATTTTGTACTCCTGTCAAAATGACAAACATGTTTCAATTTCCATATGGCAAGGAAGAACATGTCCATCAGGACAATTGAGGAAGCCACTTTTTAAGATTCAGACATTAGATTTATATTATGAAATCCAAATAAACCAGATATGTTCCAGATCCAGCTTCTCACCATAGAGCACTAAAGGAAATGTTAGTGTCTCTCCTAAAATCCCACATGGCCTTAGTGCATCCTGACATTCCACCTGAGCATGCAGTCCCAGTAGAATTCTGTAGGAAATGGAATGTAGATGGAATATAATTTTCAGAGCTATATTAGTGTTCCTTTCAATATGGATAACTTCCTATAGAGTTATTTTGGCAAAGCCATTCTGAACTGCATTCTGATATATGCCTGCAACGCCTGCATCACCAGCTTCTTGTCTCTACTGGATTTTTCCATCTTCACACTTGAGGAAAAGCTGTCTTGAAAAATATATCGCTACTGTAACAATACAAGATGGTGGGGAAAAAAAAAAAAAGAGGCCAGGCACAGTGACTCACACCTGTAATCTCAGCACTTTGAGAGGCTGAGGTAGGTGGATCACCTGAGGCCAGGAGTTCGAGACCAGCCTGGCCAACACGGCAAAACTCTGTATCTACTAAAAATACAAAAATTAGCTGGGTGTGGCGGTGCACACCTATAATCCCAGCTACTAGGGTGGCTGAGTTATGAGAATTGCTTGAACCCAGGAGGCAAAGGTTGCAGTGAGCTGAGATCATGCCACCACAATTTAGCCTGGGCAACAGAGCAAAACTCTGTGTCAAAGAAAAAAAAAAATAAGAAAGAAAGAAAGAAAAAGAAAAGAAAAAGGAAAAAATCTCTCTTAACCCCATATCTACTTTCACTGCATCTCTCTGCCCCCCTCACAACAAAACCATTTGAAATAATCCTCTGCTGTTATGAGATCATTTCATTGTCACCTATTGTCTTGCTAACCTACTTCAATTAGTCTTGTGTTCTTTTTGTTCCTCTGAGATTGCGACTGTCAGGGTCTTCAAATATGCCACATCTAATTGTCATTTATCTATTCTTACCTTACTTGATCTAAGCAGCATTAGACACAGATGACTACTTTTTCCTTTTGAAACATTTTCTTCCGTGACACACCATACTGGTCTTTCCTTCTCTTTCTCTTGCCGCACCAGTCTCCTGTGCTGGCTCCATCTCTGCTCTAGGTGAGCTCATCCAATGTCCAAGCTTCACATACTTTCTGCTCATGACTCCCAAATCCATATCTCCAAGCCTGGTTTCTTTCCCAGAATTCCAGAGTCATATACTACTATTCTACATTATGATGTCTAATGGGCATGTCAAACAGGATGGCTCAAACAGAACACGCTTGATTTCTGTCCCCCAGAGATACTCCTAACCTCCTTTTCCTCATTTCAGGAAATGGCACCACTATTCATCCAATTGGTTAAGTGATTAAACCAATGTTTCTCACACTGTCTACCATGAAAATCAGATTTTAAAAATTTCCAGCCTGCACTTTTGTAAAGTAAAATAAAAACAAATTACTAGCAAAATGAAAGAAATGCAAAATTATTGTATACTATATAAAACTTCCCTGTCAAATTTCTATAAAATTTTCTGAATTGTTACCCTTTTTTTTTTTTTTTTGAGACAGAATCCCCTCTGTTTTGTTGCCCAGGCTGGCGTGCATCCTCTGCCATGCCCAGCTAACTTTTGTATTTCTAGTAGAGACAGGGTTTCACCATGTTGGCCAGGCTGATCTTGAACTCCTGATCTCAAGTGATCTACCCACCTCAGCTTCCCAAAGTGCTGGGATTACAGGCATGAGCCACCATGCCTGGCCCTGAATGATTACTCTTAATTTCTGTGCTAATCTCAAGGCAGAGAGGTGACATCTTGCAGGTTGGCACAGGTCCTCGGACCACACTTTGACAGCACTAAGTAAACCCTAAAACTAGGACTCATTTTGGATTCCTCTTACTCCCTCTCCCTGCCATAGCCTGCCCATCAAAAATGTCACCTCCCCAAAGCAGCCTCCCTAGATCCCTTCATTTAATGTAACTCCCCATTCTAATTCTCTACATAGCACTGGTTACTATCTAGTATTTTTCTTGTTTGTTTATTGATTGAATGATTGAATCTCCAAGTGTTAGAATGTTAGCTCCACAAGAGCAGGGATCTTGTTTGTCTTCCTTCCCCCTATACTGACAGCACCTAGAAGAGTACGGGCACCATGGCAGGTGAGCACTTAATAAGTATCTGAAGAACGAGTGAATACATGAATGAAATAGAAGCAATCATTTGTTCTGACATTACCACATCTTTGAGGAATCTGGAGCCATGTGCTTGGGGTGAGAGTGAGACCTTTGGTTAAACTTATGACTCTAGTTAACCCTAATTTTATAATTTAGGGGAACTCTATGGAGATGGTACTGGCATGCTCCTGAAGTGGAATTTGGAAGCACATGGCTGATATGCACCTGCCCCTAGTCAGTGGGAGAGTGACTGAGTTCAGCACTCGTGCATTCTCAAGCTAAATCACATTAGTGATGTCCTCTAATTACGGTCTTATACATTCAGTATAATCATCTGAATTTGGATAGAATTTTAACTTCAGAACTACAGAAACTAAGTGTTTCTTGGTTTTAATTTGTTGGAATCAATTTTAAATCTGCTCCTCTCTGCCACATCTCAAACTGGGTAAAAAAAAGTAAGTACCCAGTTCTTATAGGGTGGAAAAAGTGATTAATTTCCCATAAAGTTTATTAATTTTTAATGAGATCATTCAAATCAGTTAAAGTAAAAGATCATTACTGGATTCTGAAACCAGATTTAGTTGAAATATATTAAGATTATTTTCTACATTATAGGAATATTTTTGGGAAAAGTTAATAATTAAAGCTTCCACTATCCACCTATTAGGTGAAACTATGTGAAACTGACATTTTTTTAGGTCAACAATGGTAGACTATCAGAAGTTTCATATGATTCAACCTAATTCTTCACAATGACCATATTTTCCATAAATATATTATATAGTCTCACAAGTTTGAAGTATTTTCTAGACTTGCCAGTTTAAAATCACACCAGGAATTTTTTTTTCTTTGTTGGACTGTATTCATGATTCTAAATTGATATTACTTTTCTTTTTAACAAATTTGGGTTTATTTTCCAGGATGTTTAGAAGTAAACCAATAAGTCGTTTTATTCCGTTACCATGTGAGATAGGTGCTACATTTTATTGTTTATGATTTTCAAATTACATTCAAAAAGACTAATTCACATAGTTCTCACTCCACATGCAGATCCTAGACCCCAAACTTTTGATGAGGGTGACTTCTCCATTTATTTCAGGCTCTGTGATCATTGGTGGAGAGGGGTGTGGACTGGGTGCCTGTGTTCACAGGGAGAAGTGCCTAGAGGTGCTGACTGAGCCTGTATCTGGCAGGGGGTGTTGGGGAGGGTACATGGATGGCACCCACCCTAGAGGCCCACTAGGGAATTAGCTGGGGACTCTTGCTATGGGTAAATCATAAAGAAAAGGTTATTGTTTCCTAAAAGCTAATCTGTGCTTTTCAGAGTTTTCTGTTTATATTTCAGAAACAAAGACTAAAGCAAGCAGAAGTCCCAGTTTCTTTCTTTTTTTCCTCTTTTCTTTTTTCTTGTCCTTTCCTTTCTTTTCTTTTCGCTCCCCGCTTCCTCCCCTCTTTCATTCCCTCCCTCCCTCCCTCCTTCTTTCTGACGTGATTTCGTCATGTTGCCCAGGCTGGTCTTGAACTCCTGAGCTCAAGCAATCCACCCGCCTCAGCCTCCCAAAGTGTTGGAATTATAGACTTGAGCACGCCCAGCCGGAAGTCCCAGTTTCCATCATCATCAAGTTACAGTCATCCACCCTTAAACCGTTAACAGGAATGGGGAGGCTGTATGGCTTCAGATGTTTCCTTTTCACCCACCAGAGATTTTCTTCTCTCGATGCTACAGATCCTGGTCCTCCACCTCCCATTTCCAGCCCCCACTTCTCAGCATACTCCCAGGACTGGAGTAGTGCTGACCAGCCAAGGACAGGGCACAGGCACCGAAAGCCAGAAGGGAAAGCTCCAAGGCTTCGTCTCCCAACCTGTCCCTTCCCTGACACTGGGGCTGCAGCTCTTTCCCCAGATGTAGCCCTGGTGTTGTCCATTGCCCGCCCTCATTCCATTCCTGTTTCCTCTGCTCCTATCTCACTTCTATATCCTGCCACGGTTCCTTAAAGAAATGCCTCAAAAAATACAAAAATTAGCCGGGCGTGGTGGTGTGTGCCTGTAATCCCAGCTATGAGTCTGAGACAGGAGAATCGCTCGAACCCGGGGCGGAGGTTGCAGTGAGCCAAGATCATGCCATTGCATCAGCCTGGGGACAAAGTGAAACTCCATCTAAAAAAAAAAAAAAAAAAAAAAAAAAAAAAAATGCCTCCAACAGTTAACGCTGGATCTGGAGTAAAAAAAAAAAAAAATGCCTCCAACAGTTAACGCTGGATCTGGGTTTACTCTGGTAAATCTTATTTGGGTCATTCATGCATCTGATCCTTTTATCAGTTCTCTATGAAAGGCCCTTGTTCCTATGGGACTCTGTGAAGACAAGGGCGTATCAAGGTGGATATGACTCTTTTTACTCTCACATAGTCTGTTTCCAGTTATTCCTGAAAACCCTTACAAAGGCTTTTCTTGCTTCATATCAGGATATTACATATCTGAATCCTAATTAACAGGAACAAAAGAAGAACTTGAAGGATTAAGAGAAACAAGAAGACCAGTCCCTGAGGTCTACAGAATAAAATAAAAGGAGTAACCAAGGAGGCAGCCCAAAATGGAGAAGTATTCTGGGGGGTTTTCTTTTTTTTCTTCTTGAGACAGGTTCTCACTGTGTCACCCAGGCTGGAGTGCAATGGCGTCATCACAGGTCACTGCAGCCTTGACTCCTTGGGTTCAAGCAGTCCTCCCATCTCAGCTTCCCAAGCAGCAGAGA